AAAAAAAAAAGGACTAGCATATGGTGCTCCTAGAGTGAAACTTACTATCAGCAGGCTCGGTTGACAAGAGATTCGCAACATGTGCAGCTGAAGCATCCAATCCTTCAACATCATCAGGTGCATTCTCAGAAAGGTCTTGTACATCAAACCCTGAAGTGTAGAGTTAAGTTCACTGTCATATCATGATACAGTGTGAAACAGAAAAGGAACTTCTTCCACTAACTCAAATCAAACAAGCACTGATTTGTGACTAATAAACTACGACAGGCTTAATTCTGAATATATAATGCAAAGGTTAAATAAAACTATCTTACAAGCAGTGGAAGGAAATCCACCAAACAGAGACAGTGGACGAGTAGGAGCAGTTGGGCAGATCCACTTGATCTGCATTTTGAATTGGTTTTAAAATAAAATATTTGAGGTTATTAATCATAGAGTGTAATCATGTTCTACACTCTTTGCTCTAGATGAAGTTCAGATTAGTTAATGTTTAAATAATGCTCAGAATTTGCGGCAGAACTTACATTCGGAAGGGGAAGGCCTTCCAAGAGCTGTGACCAACTGCAAGCAATAACAGAGTTATGTGGATCTCCATTTAATGAATTAATAAAGGCTTAAGAAATTATATAATTAGGAACTAGGCATACAAAGCCATGCATGTGGGTGCTCAAGTTTCAAGCTCAATATAGTACGTTCGTAATATTTATATCAGAACATATACATGAACTAATACTTACATATAAATTAAGCAACAGCTATCTTGGACACAATAATGAAGGTAAGTTTAACAAAATATGAAGTTGACAACAATAACTAGCTTTAATTTATCAATTAAGTAGACGACATAACAGAACATAACAGTAAAAGCAGACGCTCTCCAAAACTCGAATATCCATATTAAATAATTTTGGGATCACATAGAGTTTAGGAAAAATGAACAGATCAAAACTGCACATTTGCTTTAGTTGTCATTCTAAATATTTAAGAGAATCGCCCATTTACAACTTCTTAACACTGAAGTTGCATAAACAAATATTTTTCTTTGCCATTTTAAATAGGGAAAAACATGGGTAGTGAGGAAGTGGTCCTCTGTTCCATATCTTTCGCATAGGTCAAAAGACTGATACCTAACTTTATCAGTGCACATCACATTCAAAATTGCAAGCAAGGACAAGCAAAATATAGTATTATGTACACACAACCATTTCAGAATGATTATAGTCTAGAAAACAGCAATGATGAAATTCTTAGCATTCGTTACCTAATTATCACATACTATAATTGAATTAGTTACTATCTGCATTAAGGGTTTTCAAAAAAGATGAAACTGCTTAAGATCTTTGCAGTTGGCGATACACTAAACTATCACATCCAAGAAACCAAAACAAGATGCTCGTTTTTTGAAAAACGATTCACGCTCGATTAGAAACCATATTACCAAAACCAAGATAAATAACGAATATTGTTTTCTTCCTTTTTTCAGGGGATAATATACCTCGAGCCATTATCACCCAGGCCATGGAGCCAAACTATTGTTGCTTGGTGCCTCCCTTTCGGCCTGACAACATGAGTCCTCCCAAATTCAAACGCCGCTCTAGAGGTTTGGCTGCCTATAACAATTAAGAGAACACGGTTTAATAAGCACACATAGCTCAAGTTTCTTTTATTGATAGTAGGGAAAAAGTTGAGTAACTAACACAAGCGACGACTTAACTAAATTTCCTACAGTAGTTAACCAAAGCAGGAAAGAATTTTAACTGACCCCCGGTGGTGGTACTGAAGCTCATAGCTTCTTCTACTTAATACTCCGGGCAAGAAACAAATCTAAAGTTATTCACAATTAGCTCCTGCAACAAGTAAAAAATTACAATTGGAAATTTGAGATTATAATAACGGAAAATGCTACGGTCCCGTTTCGGAACCATTCCGTCGGAGTTTGTAACCGTTAGATCAACTATCCACGACGGTTACATGATGATCTAACGGTTACAAATGTTCCATAACGGGACCGTAACATTTTCCATAATAACATAAACATAAATGAGAATGAAATTAATAATATGAGTAAAGGGCTGGCCATTTCACCCACAAGGACCATCCAACCAAGACCACATACTAAAAGATAAGACACCCATGAAATGAAACTCAAATGAAAAACAAAAAATGAACAGAAGGGAATCAAAAAGCTATAATCTTTATGACCATATACATAACTGACATAAAAGATTCAAGAACAATCACTATGTGTGGGTTATGCTACGCACATTCTCAGAAAGCAATTCCTGTAAATGGGAAAAGAAAAGAAGAAGAAAAAAAAACGAACAGCACTTTTAAATCGTTAATCTCAATTATATTTCGATGAGAACAAGAAAACTGAACTCGTTTTACGAAACATGAATCAAGAAACCACCGAAAGAAAAATAAAAAAAAAAAGATATAGAAATATTTAATCACGACAAGAAATGCGAGAAACCTCAAAACCCTAGAAATTTAACAGCACATTTCATGAAAGCTGAAGCTCGCGTGAAGCTATGAATCTGATTCAAATGAAATGCATCGGTGAAAAAGATAAGTGGGTTTAAGCTTGTGAACAGTACCAAACTGAAAATTGGGGTTCTGATGTTGAAAGCGCTGAAAAGTGCTCAGGCTTTTTCCCTATACAAAGTTACAAACAAACTAGTACAAAAAAAACTAGTGTGTACCCCGTGCCATGCACGGTAACAATATTACATTAACAATATTATAAATATACCTCGAGTTTGAGTCACTCAATGGTGGAAGTGGAAACTATTATTGATCAATTTAAAAAGAGGAAGAAAAAAATAGTAATTATATATTAAAGTGTCGGGGTCAGACAATATAAAATTATTTTGTATAAGAGAATATAAATTTTATATTATTTTGTATAATAGAATATAAAATTTGTATGTTTAATATTAAAAACACCTAAAATATTATATTAGTATATGTAAAAGTATTCAAAATTTTCTATATTATTTTTAAAAGATATGAAGTCACCTACAACGTTTCTAAACAATTTTAGAAAGAAAACATATCTAAAAACATTTTAATTTAACATTATGTAAAAAAAAAAAAAATCTAGACTATTTTGTAAAAAAAGAATGTCTACAAATAATTAAATTTAACATCAATTATGTATATGTGTATATGTGTATATATAGACGATTATGTAAAAAAAAAATGTCTAAACAATTTGTTTAGAATAACTAAAATATTATAAGGCTAATTTAATAAACACCTTCGGTCAAAAAAAAGGAAAAAAAACAAATATCTTCACATTAAATCAGATATAATGTTTCAAAATTTGTGCAATATAAATGAAAAGAGAAACAAATCAGCACAATATCTATTAATTTGTTAACCTAACAAATAGAAAAAAGGGAAACATCACAAAAACCATCGCATGTATTATTTTGTTAACCTAAAAAAATAGAAAAAAGAAAAACATCACAAAAACCAGCGCGCGGTTTTTTTTGTTAACACTATATCACTGTTTAGTTAATGATTTTAGAGGGAAAATAATAATTTTAGCGGGTATTTAATGATTTTAGAGGGAAAATAATGATTTTGGCGGGTATTTAATGATTTTGAAGGGAAAATAATGATTTTGGCGGAAAATCATAAAAAGGTTATTCTTTTAATATAATTATAGATTATTCTTAATTTTTCAAATTAATAAGAAAAATTATTTTAAATTTTATTTATTATTTTACAAATATATAAGATAAATTACACCAAATCTCCATGTGATATACGAAATAGGAGCGTTATTACCTTATGTTTTAAAAAATACACCATACCCCGTATATTTAAGTAATTCTTGCACGATTCCCTCATTCCGTCCAACTTAATGGCGCGTGCACAACAATTTTTTTGTAGGCGCTCCTAGGCCGCCTAGCCGTCCGGGCACCTTCTAGCGCCTAGACCGACTTTTAGAACAGTGTATTTAAGTAATTATTGCAGATTCTCCTATTCCGTCGAACTTAATGGTGCATGCACAACACCTTCTCCACCAGCAAAAATCATACAATTTTTTGTTTCTTTTATTGAAAAAAATAAAATTGAACCTGGGGGAGGACTTGAACCCGAGTCTCAAGAAAATGAGCTTGCCAATGGGCTATATAGATTCTTGTGTACGAATTATACACAACTAAATTTATAATATCAATTCCAATCGAATTAATAAAATAAAATATAATATAATATAATAGGTAAATTTAAAATAAAATAAGTTAAATATTAATAATAAAATAATATTACAACTTGCAATACATTTAACAAAAATAGAATAAGTTACATGAATTGAAATTAGATAAATTATATAATTCTATTTATTAGAATAAAATTAATTATATAAACTTGGAACTGATAATAATAATAATAATAAAACTAAATTTAAAAATAAATATAACTAAAATAATTTTAAAAGGTAAATTTCATATACATTAAATAATAATAATAATAATAATAATAATAATAATAATAATAATAATAATAATAATAATAATAATAATAATAATAATAATAATAATGTAACTTGGAATAAATTATATTAAAATCAAAACAATAAAAAAATTAAAATAAGGTAAGATAAAATTAATTATAGTAGCAGGAACTAAATTTAAATAATTTTACAATTTTTATTTATAAAAATAAAAATAATTAGATAAATTTATAAATGTATAATAATAAATTAAATTATAAATTATTAAATAAAATAAAAATTAATACATTAAATAAAAAATGAATAAAACTAATGTAAACTAGTTAAAATTACCTAAAAACAATATAAGATAATAAAATATAAAAATGTTAAAGTGAAATAAAATATTAATTAAAATAACTTATTATAAAATAGAATTAAAATAAATAAGAATATTAAATTAATATAATAAATAAAAAATTTTATTTATCGAATAATTTTAGTAGGGATTACTCTACAATAGAATATGAACAAAAAAAGAAAAAAAATTATCATTTTTTAGTAAATAATTTCAAATAGAAATAAATCATCTTAGTTTTAAAATTTTATTTAGTAAAATCATTTTATTGTTATATCATTGTATTAAGTCAAGTAAAATAAATAAATTTTTAACTAAGATAAAATAAGATGAAATAGAATGAATATTAAGATAGAATAAAATGAAATAATAAAATTTAAAATAAATAATAAAAGAGTAGATGAAATAATTTAAATTAAATACAATTAATATTATTATTTTAACTGTAATTTTTGTCTAAATATATATAAGTTATTTAATTTAGTTTAATTTATATAATTTAGTTTATTAGTATTTTAATTTATTTTAAGTTTATAGTTTATTAATTTATTTTAATATAATTTACATTATGTTCTAAATTTAATTTGATTTATACATATGTAATGTTCTTATATATATATATATATATATATTAAATATTCTTATATATAACACTTAACCTAGATTGGCGCAGTGGTAGCAAGGCTTCTACTCTCCCATGAGGTACAAGGTTCAAGGAGCGTGTGCAACAATTACATAAATATAAGGGGGTCTGGTACATTTTTTAAAACACATGATAATAATGCGCCTATTTATAATACAGGGAGTTTGGTGCAATTTACCCTACATTGTTATATAATTTAGAATGACAATTGTTACTTGTGCGACTCACATGTGTTATATTATAGTATTTTTAGAACTTAGATCATATAACTACTTGAAATGTAAATATATTAATTGATAAATAACTTCATTTTCTAATCAATATTAAAAACAATTTTATTGATGTTATAAAGATAAATATAATTTATTATTTTATACATACAATATGAATGTTAAATCTAAGCTCATCAAGAAATTATTAATTTGATATATTATATATGTAAAACTCATAAAATATACAAAAGTTATTAGCTTTTAAAATACATTTACAATTTAATTTTTGTAATAAGAAATGATATTAAAATTCAATTAATACATGTAACATGACCATAATTAATCAACATATTTGTGGATAATATTGACCTAATTATTTCTAGATTTAAAGCAAATTAAAATCTACCTAAGCCTATTAACGAAGCATGTAATTTTTCCACATAGGATCCCGAAGCATACGAACTTGTCATTTATGCTCAAGCTCAACACTTTTTGAATTAATATATAGGGAGATTTATTTGTTCACCTGAACAAGGCATAATTTTGTTGCAAACTTTGAAGGTGTAAGACAAAAATAATCTCATGCTAATTTTTCTCCATAATTTATAATATAATATGAGTTGGGTTTAAGTGATATGGGAAATATATGAAAATAAATTTTAGCCATCAAATCGAAAGATCCAACTGTAACAAAACATTGAGTAACTATATGTTCATTAATGATATATTAGATAATTTATTATCAACCATGGAACTCATACCAATTCCCCAGTGGTGGACCCAGAATTTTTTATCAGCTATGGCAATATGAAATTTTTTTTCTAAGTTCAATTAAGTTTTTCTTTTTTTAAAAAAAAAAAAGTTACAACTTTTCAGTTACTGAGGGCCCGATCTGAAGGGAGATTTCTAGAAGTTCGCTTTCGATGTGTCGGATCTGAAGGGAGATTTTCAGTTACAACTTTTTAGATACTGTAAGTGGCGTAATCTAAGATACGCTTTTGACGTGCCGAATCTGAAGGGAGATTTTCTAGAAGTTCGCCAAGTTCGGTGCTCTTTGAATTTTCGGCAAGTTTGGTGCTTTTTGAATTTTGATTATCGAGCTTTCTTTTTTTCTTAGATGACAAAAGAGT